ACCTAGCGCGAAATCGACCTGTAAATAACGCAATGTGAGTACGCTGATAATTAATATATGTAACTGTCATTGTGTACACTTTAGCTTACCAAGTTATAAGAACTTTCATCTCTTTCATAAAATACGAGTCAAATCTCTTCCTGTTTCCTCATGACATCTCAGATATAGGTCTATGTACATACACATAATGCTGCTCTCGTGTGTCTGACCTTTCATTTATCTTGGAAATTGAAGTACCTATACAAAGCATGAGCGCTATTTACTGGAAAACATTCTTGATAAAAGCTATTGTCGACAGGTTGGTACCTACATCTGCGTGCTCTTGTGTAACTGAAATGATACGGTAATTTATACAATCAAATATTAAAATTTGTACGTATACGAAGGTACGCAGTAAGAACAGCGTTGATAAACAGGTGCTAATAATCCCTTGCTGCACTTCAAACGCTGATGCTCAGGGTGAAAGGTTGGACTATTGGGTAAGACTTCCTAAGGATGTTAAACTTGACCAATCAGGGCCTACATTTATAGGATCTGGAGACCACCAACAGAGTTGCTTAATTAACAACAACCAGGTGTGGGGCTCTGGTCATAATGTCAGTGGTAAACGACCAGAACCGTTGATTATACTGAGAGAATATTGATAACATATTCGTGGACTCAGAGTTCCATAAGACCTTATCACTCACTGTTCAGATCTGCGATACAGGTTGCAATGAATGATTCTTAAACAGTTGTTCCAAAAGTTTGAAGCAGTGTGAGATGAGGTTAGTAAAATTGCCTTGACACATTTAAACAGCTTATGGGATCTGCGTTCATATAGGCGGATGTATGTACTGGTAAACGGCACGTCCAATGTGTTTGGACACTGCAGTAAACGGATTGTATAGAAAATTAAATATCTACACCGTCGGAGCTGCCAGAATACGTGTAGTCGTAGAGGTGCTCATCAAAGTCCAATACCAGGTAGTTCTGTTTGAAACCAAAAGTACAAACAAATGCTGTTGTTAATTCTGTTCAATCGAATGGACTCAGACAAAACTACTTGGTGTAGGGAAAGGGCAATTGGTAAGGCTCAAAAGCCCATTCAAACAGACGTTTTGAAAATGAAATATTTTCCTTGCATGGCTGGAAGTCAGAGCTCGATGCATGGGTTTATCTATTGAAACTGTCAACCCAGAACTTACTTTCTAAAAGCAGTGGCTTTTTGGAGCGCATCATTGGCGCTCACTTATTGCTGTGCACAAAACAACGATGAATCAGCGGAGAAGAGAAAAATGAGTCCTCCAAACAACCCCCCCCAATGCATGACTTTTTGTGTACAAACTGATGTGAAATTTAGACTTTCTTGTTGGGATGAGATCACAGTTTCGCTGATGAGTATGAAAATATCATTATCATAAAAACCTAACGCAGCAAAATACCCTTTGAAACAGTAAAGCAAAAGTTGAATATGAGGTTAACTGAGACACAGTGGTGCTGTGTAAAGGTCTGTATTGAAACAAATTGATTGCAGCCAGCCTTGAAGACGGACGGTATGGAAAAGTCGTACACTAAGTAAGAACAATAACCGCAAGTTTAGGTTTGTCTGAGGAAGGGTGGTAAAAGTCAAGTATGACCATAATTAGTTGTAAAGTAAAAGTGCCTCACTCTGGATTCGATGAGAATAGCCTCCAGTCTATTTCTTAGGTTTTCAAAGGTTGGTCGACTAGCCGGATTCTCCCTCCAGCAGTCCAGCATAATGTCATAACTGTGACGTAAAACAAAACTGAAAAACTTACTTCGAAGATATAAAACAAAGAGCTGTAGCTTGCAATAAAATTTTAAAAATCCGTGGAGATAGCGTGAAAGAACAGAGGACGCCATACAAAACAAACACAAGTCAGTGACTCATCGCTGGCCCACGCGGGCTATTCAATGTCTACCTATTACCTGTCTGAATCACCTGATTGTTGCATCTAGCTATGTGAAGTGTTCACAGCTGCTGACCTGTGGCTTCCTATAAGTTGCGGTGCAATTACCAACCGCAGCCATAACGTTAAGGCACAACAGTGAGAACCTACCGGTCCCGAGCGTAATTCCTACTCAGCGACTGATACTCGCACATGGAAACCAACTGTACCCTGGGGTATCCGTATGAGCAGTAGCACCCCCTCATCGGTTGAAAAGAGCCATGTTGGTAGGAGTATTCATTTGTTAATAGCGGCACGACTGTGATGCGTTTATGGTCATTTGTGAACCAGTGAAGTGCATTTCCCACCAAAGGAGCTTCCGTTGCTAGGAAAGTGCGCCCTTTCTTTGTCCTGCTCGAGACTTATGTCCTGTGTAATTCAATGTAGTATTATCATAACTGTTTTTAGAGAAACCATCCGGCGATGACGAAATGTGTTTTGTCATGTATTAATCAAATTAAACATTTGCAAATTTGCGTCCTGTAAATACGACTGCCTTACACGTCTCCACTGCAGTGATCAGGTCGGGCCATTCTGTATCCTCGCTGTAACTCTTTAATCAGTTTCTTGGAAGACATTCCTGGAAAGGGATAAGATCCTGTAGTGGAGAGAAACCAAAGGTTTTGAAATGAAGACAAAATAGCAAAGTGGCCAACACATTAGCGTGTCTAAATAACACGATCAACATCCTAACAGTCAATGGCAAACATAAAAGAACGTTCATGTTCTACTTGTCATGCGCGTGGCCGATGGAGGCCGGTCTAGGTACCAGCGCCACCATTCAATTACAATAATGCAAATGAGCTTTGAATGTCTTACCGATGGTTACTATCTCCCACATGAGGACAGCAAAGGACCACACGTCGCTCTGAATCGTGTAGACGTTGTCTAGGAGGGACTCCAGTGCCATCCACCGGATAGGAACGCGACCCTTGGACACAGAAAAGAATGGAGACTTTAAAGTGGAAAGTGATAGTCCGATCGAGATTTAAATTAGCCAATCACGCAAAACAAAGAAAATCATCAGGAGAATAAGCAGTAGTTTTAACTCCAAAATAAATTAACAGTTGTGCGCCACATCGTTGGTAACTGATCAAATTTTAATGATAAACAGTGCAACTCAAATGGATAAAAGGCACCAACACGAGCAACGTAACGTCTTTAAAAAGTAAAACCCATCGTCATTCCAATGCCAGATTGTTTCCTGCACAAAGTGCAGGCACTGATTAGGTTTTGCTTCATTTGTGGCACTCACCTGCGTCTTTCTTTGGTAGATTCCCCCGTTGACGACGTCACGTGCCAGTCCAAAGTCAGATAATTTGCAGACTCCGTCACGTGAGAGGAGGATGTTACGAGCGGCCAGGTCGCGGTGAATACACTGCGTAGCGGTGGTTTTAAAAAAATCTAAGACTTTAAACTGCGTTTGAAATATGTGAACTGCCTAACGCAATAACTTTTAAGCACGAGCAAATATTCTGATACATCTAGCAAAATAGTACCTTAGTTTTGTTAATTTTTTGGATTTGTATTTGTCGAATCCCATATGCCCATTAATGAAGTTTCTGATCGAAATAATTCATGTTTTTTTCAGAAGATTTAAAAGGTTGAATTATTCACATCATTGAAAAAAAAGTGAGACACAAGAAAAGTCTTATAGACGTACTGTATCAGGTCAGTGGGTTAATTACATTGCAATACAGTGGTACGGATACTGGCTACAAATTACACTGTTGACTGACTGGACTCTTGCAGTAAATCCCCTTTAAAAGCTAAAAGTTTGTTAGAACTTACAAAATGACTATAATTTTAATGTATAAGGTCAGTATATCATTTCAAAACACCGGTTAAAAATATCGGTTCGTTCACAGGAAGACCGAAACAAAATGAACCTGCCGAGAATTGACACTTGACCTTACCATCATGGAGGCCAGGATAGGTCATGCCATTAGCGATCTCGTAGGCGTAACGTATGAGATCTGTAGGTGACATTGTGGTGCGTATGCTAGCGCGATGCGTCTCCGTATCTTCTACGCGCTGTCTGCTGCTGCGAAGGTGCTGAAGGAGATTACCATTCGGTAAGTACTCCATGATAATCAAAGGCGGCTCTGGAGGTAGGACCAATCGTTGGGATGTTTGATTTTAGGAAAAGAAAAACGAGAGCGTTGTTTTGGGGATTGTAGATTTGGGGATCCTGTTCCCATAGAAGGGCGAGCTACATTTTAACTTTTGAATTCACTTTGGTAGATGACTGTGACATCATGCTCAATAACTGTAGGGTTGATGTTGTCAGAAAGGGGTAGGGTTTTGAGCGAAATTATGAGGAGAAACTGTAAGCGTTTGAACACATGACACATGGTGGAGTCAAATTTGCCTCGCTGGTTTATAAGTAAAAAAGTTACATTTTCTCACAATTTGCAATTTAAAATTTCCCCCAAATAGGGTCAGCGCAGTAAACAGAGTGTTACCTTAATTTTCTGGGGAATTACCAGATTTGCAAGATTAAAATGACAAAGGCTAGGGGGTCCCAAAGTATACAATCCCCATTGTTTTAATATTTCATTCTCCGTTGTTTCAGGTCAGCTCCTCAAGTGTAGCCACCGAAGGGTATTTCAAAACATTTATTCTCTGTCGTGCTGCAATTGGAGAGTGTTTCAAACACCCGATCTCGGTTGTCAAATTGCAGACTGTTTCAAAACACTAAAACTCTGAAGTGCGAAAACCAAGATTGTTTCTAAGTTAATACATACTTTCTGCAATGCAACAACTGAAGACTGTTTCCCAACATCTCCCGTCACGGAAAAAGTAAAACTGTGTTTTAAACGCTCACCCTCTGCCGTGCAACATCCGAAGAGTGTCACAATGTTGGGATGTGGCTTCAGAATCTTCATGACACCAAGTTCCTTAAGTAAGTCCTGGTGGTCGTTTGAGGTTGCGTTTTCTTAATATTAAAAATAACAAGTTAATGGAATATTTCACCTAAAAAGAGGCGAAATAATAGGTTGCATGTGACATTTTGAATACAGGTACGTAGGCCCTACTTGCAGAACATTCAAAACCAGACAGTAAGAATGAATTATTTTAAAACGAATGTTTCCCTATTCGAGCAAGGTCGTCCGATTTCTTATGCATGTCTTTCAATGGCTGTTTTCTGATAAATAAGTTCAGCTAACTTAATTCAGTCAGTGAGTTTATGTTGGTGACCGCTACGCACACGCGTAGGAAGCCGAAGGTGTCTCCTTGTCTGGTTAGGAAAGTGCGCCGTGAGGCCCTTTCCAACCCCAGAACAACAATCAAGGCACTTGCACTTCAGGACAAATTGGGTGAGATGGGCACCAAGGTTTCAGCAGACGATCCGCTGCACACTGCACAAGGAAGGGCTACATGGGTGTTGTCCAAGAAAGACCCCTCTCCTCACTCACAGGCATCGAAAAGCTTGACAGGCATTTGCCAGAGGGCACCAAGACAAGGATCAAAGTTTCTGGTCATCAGTTTTATGGTCAGATGAGATGAACATGGAGCTGTTTGGCAACTGGGATGTTTCCTTCGTTTGGCGCAAGAACGGTGAAGCATTCAACCCTAAGACATTGTGCAGTGAAGTTTGGAGGTGGGAGCATCATATTGTGGTGTTATTTCTCTACAAGTAAGCCTGGTAATTTCGTCAAAGTGGAAGGAATTATGAAGGAGTAGTGCATCCAGATTCCGCAGGACAATGTCAAGCAGTCTGCAGAGAATATCCATCTCAGCCCCAACTGGACATACATGTACAGGTACCAACAGGACAATAATCCTAAATGTACGGCTAAAGCAGTCAAGAAATTGTTCCAGGATTAACAACGTGGAGGTGCTACCACGGCCAAGCCAAAGCCCAGACCTGAATCCCACAGAAAAACCTGTGGAAAACCATCAAGTTCAAGGTGCGTGCCCACAGGCCCTATAACCTGAAGTTACGGGTATGAATAATTCTGAGCATGTCAGAATTTAAGCAATGTAGCATTCTCTTTGTTATGCAAATGAGGTAAAACCAAGGCCATTAGTCATGTATACTTGACAGCTAAAAGTATTCAACTATATTCCAAATATTAGGTGGCCACCTTACTCATTCTTTAAAACAAAACACAAAGTTCTAAAATTTATAAAAGATGTGAATACGTTTCTTTTTAACTGTATAAGATTTTGCATATGCACCTGATGGCATTCTTTCCTATAAAGATGGCGTCCAATGAAAGAGATCTATTATTTGATTATCTGGTTGTTGTCTTTGCCATCTGAGTTCTTGGTCTACTTGTCACTGACCTCGCTACTATTAATGCTGACATGTTTGTCACTCACTCACGCTATACCCAATTAATTTCAGGATCTTGAATTATCCATTTGATTAATTCAATATCGTTCTTGATAGAAATTGTTTGTAGCGCCATTGACTTACCTTTGAGAGTTTTTATGGCGACTACACTCTTCACGCCTTGTCGCAGTATACCATCGGCCTCACCACGTATTACCTTACCGAAGGATCCGGTGCCTATGACCGTTCCAAACACAAGCTTGTATCGCAGGAACTCAAATTCTCCCCGTAGAAGACCTGGGCCGCAGGTCATCGGCATGACGTCATATTGCTAGACAATTGAATTTGAAAACAGTTGTGACATTATTTTGAGAGGGATGTCATTACCGTGGCAGGTGAATTTAAACATTAAGTCAAAGCAGAAAGACTCTTTCTTCAAGTACATTACAACAGGGTACTCTAATGAAGGGTGAACAACACCAATAATTGGTGAAGCACAAAATAATAACAATCACAAAAGCCCGAAAATCAACTTTTGATGAATAGCTACTTATGTCGGCAATATAAATGTTTTCGTTTTGATTTAAATCCTGAAATCATTATATGCTTACCACGCTATCATGTCTCAGTTGGAAAAGGGAAGCATCGCTGAATATTGAGTTGGGTCGGTTTCGACAAAGGCGTTGCTCCTGCAAATAAGCACAAAACGAGTTGAAGCTAATACTCAGACCCTTGTAACATTTTGACTTGACTGCAGTCATTCTTTCCAAATGGACCCTTGCAGAAAAACAAGAGAAAGCCACAATTTTGATATGCATTTTACGAAAAGGAAACGGAGAAACAACTCCAGCACAGTCAGTACAGCCAAGTACGGCCAAAATATCTCTTTATGAAAATCAGATTGTCAATATCTGAGGACTGAGGACAGAAATGCATGTTTACAACAACACATACTTTGCCTTTCACCAAGATATGCATGTTTTGTAACATCTCATTATGGGAAAACGTTAATGCCTCAGCTTCTTCGGGGTGGCACTGTTTTCTTTTTATTTAAATTATAAATACGCATGCTCACAGTGAGTAATCGACACATGTGCTTTAACAGATAAGGAAATCAACGAAATATTGATAACATAATAAAGGCAAATTATTTTGATTTATTTATGATTTACCTCAGTTGGTCGTTTCTTTTTCGCTAAATAAACGCGCAGGGACACGATAAGAAATATCACCACACAGCAGAGAAAGACAGCAACCAGCGTGCCGACGACTATGGCAAATGGAGACGGTCCCTGTGAGCCAGGCTTCATATCTGTCGCGATTGTGGTGTTGCTCGTGTCTGCACTCTGTGAGGAGCTGTCATTGTTCGCCCCGATGCCAGACGTGCTGTACGTTGAGTTTGGATAGGGTAGTAGGGTGGTCATTCGGTCTCCTGAAGTGTCTATAAGCCACAAGATGACAGCTTCATTTAGATATGAATATGACCAGCATAGGCAGAATAGAGATACCGTCGAAGTGGCAACACAGAATTGTTCCAATAGCTACAGGAAAATTGATATTTACTTGCAAAGTTCTACTTGACTGACATTCAAGATTACTATTTATCTGACAACAACGTACTTCTATTTGTCTTGACATCAACGTCAATGTCACTGCTCTCAAAGAGTAGTGTGTGTTTTGGGATTGTTCAAGCAATGTGCTCATGTTCATTCCCAACACATAGAATCACACTCAATTGCCTATAATACCGATTAACTGGCAGACTGCAGGTACGTGTTACCGAGAGCTTTGTGACTGAGTGGCCCTGTACCCAATGGTGTAATTATAAGGGGTGTTGAGGGGGGGGTCACGTGCCCCCTGTCTGATGCCCGTGCCCCCCCCCCCATTTACATCTGTGAATAAACTCTGTTGAGCTTATACAGCTATGGAGCTGCAGCTTATTTTCTTGTGGTGCCCCCTCACAAACTGTGTGCACTCCAGGACCCAACCCCCGGACATTTCGCCCTGGTCACGTCATTGTGTATTAAAAGCCTTCGAGTCATGTCAAGAATTGTTGTTACAACTCAGAAAACCACCGGTATTAGCATGTTATTCTGCGATTGAATGTGCTTGAGTACCTTCATGAAACTGAGTCAGTCGTTAGGCAGAACACCTTCATAGCAAACAAATTAAACATAAAACACACGGAATACTGAAATTAAACTACCAGCAAGGCAGCGGGGTCTTCATTTCGCAACAAAACTTAAAATCTGAAAACTACTGGTGAATACTCACATTGCTTCATAGTAGATATCCTGACTACATCTGAATAATTACCGAATCCCACTGGGTTACCTGCTGCTACTTTTAACTGGTACTCCGTGTGTGGTTTCAGACCTCTTATGATGGTATTCTGACCTGGTGTTGGTATAAAATGGAGAGTGTAGAATATTACCTCACAAAGGTGACTACAAGCAGAGGCGTTAAAGTAGGCCTACAAATTTGAGCTACGCTCCCTGGTTTTCTGATTAGTTGACCCTTTTTAGTGATGCTGGCGATAATCCGACGGCATAAATGCGATCGCAGCCGTGCCAGGCACGCGTAACATGGCAGGATAGGCTCATTATTGATTGGGGGAAAGACCTCCTTGCAAGCTACCTAAAGGTGAGTTGGAAAACTTAAACACAGCCAAGCTGAGAGTTCCCACAAATGGTATGATCGATCTGAAGTGGATGAGAATAATTTGTCTGTTCACCTGGGATCATTGACCCGATTGTATCGGAGGTGATAAGCCAAAAAAAAAAAAGGAAAAAAAATCAGGTCGCCGATCAGGGTCATGCGAATGAAGTTGCTCGGAACTGTGAATGTGTCTTTGCAAATTTTTAGTTAACTGATTTCTTTCCTGTCTACAATATTTTGTACGTCACGTCTTTTGAACAGTTTGATGGCATTTAAAACTGTAAAGTATATGAACAAAATGTACAAAAAATACAGCGCGCGTTTGACCTAATGTTCGTTTAAGACTGTTCAAGGGTTATCAAAAACACCAAAAAACAAACAAACAAACAAACAAACAAACAAACAAACAAACAAAAACAAAGAAAGAAAAATTAATAAGTATCCAGCACAGCTTCCTACCAATTGGAAATTCCAAGACCTTCCATCGAACCATATTGGCTTCTCGATAGCTTACACGGTGGTTTGTCAAGGCGAGGCCACCGTTGGTGCGCGGCGGGTCAATGAGCAGAATCACGGTGTCATGGGTAATGGCGCCCGCACGGACATTCCCTGGTGCGCTGGGAGAGGCTAGATGTGTCGTAGAGAAAAGGAAGGCAATATCATTTTTCTTTTTAATTTTAACTATGATCTGATTTCTGCTTGATGTTACTGTTCTACTGGAACCGGAAATCAATTACACAGATTACCAGACGCACCTGCCGCAGTAAGTGACACGATATGCTCTGCCCTACCCCGACTATTGGCGACTAAACAGCGGTAGACACCAAAATCAGTTGTTGTTGGAGTAACCTTGAATAGGAAAGGAAAAGAACGTTATTACCAATTTGCAATGGTAACTGATTTCTTTTGTTTTCTAGCTCTTATTAAAACAAAAGAAAACAAACTTAGACCTAATTTACACTGACTCCTTGTTCTGACATAAATAGGAAACCTGTGCAGTCCAAATGGGTTAGAGAGGATCATGCGCAATGATGTCAGTAGCATGTTACAATGATTTGAACAGTGCAACCTGGTTTTGCTTTGAAAAATCCTCATTCTTAGTGTTGACCCGTTTTTCTTGGTTCATGCGGCACAGCCCTTACCTGTAATACACTGATGCCTTCCATGGTAAACGTCTTGACTCGGGTTTGGTCTACCATGACCCCACTTCTATCCCAGCTGACCCGTGGGGTTGGGTAGGCGCTCCAGGCACAAGTCAGATTGACCGGTAGATTGATCCAACTGACCACTCGGTCATCTGAGAGGGCGCTGTCGATAAGGGGAACATCTAAAACAACAGAAAAAATAGAGCGCTTTCTTATAATGATTTTACTTAATGTGATCAAACGATCAAACGCTTGCTCTTTGTTCTCCAAATTTCTTTCCCTGCTCTATTATCAACATCTCCTCCTCTAGAAGCTGCACAAACTTTGAAGAGAATCTCATAGATGTAGATTATTATTTTTATGAACCTTCAATAGGCCTACTTAATAAAGATTGTATAGAATCAGGGTAATTCCTTGATGTATGACAGCGGCTGTAAAGTATAGGAAAATCTCAAAACAATTAAAAAATAAGTACACCTGTAGAAAGTACGTACACGATTTTTTGGTGCTGTTTCAACATTATGGAAATTCTGAATGAATGGTTCCCACAAAAATCAATATAAACGTTTTGGTGCCTTTTTGAATAATGTCTTCAATTCTATTCTTAGAAGGAGTGTGGGCCTACAGTACATCCATGAAAGTTTCATGAATAGATCTATTCGCCCTTACGGATGACATTGACTGCCACTCGCCCGACCACAGTCCCCAGTATGTTAGTAGCCACACATTCGTACACGCCTCCATCCTTCACAGTCACGATCCTAAAACTGAGGGCGCTCGTGACGGGGTTGGTGGAAGCAGTAGTTGGTAAGGATTGCTGCGGTTTTGCCTTATTCCAAGTAATTGAAGCATCCGGCTCTGCAGAAACGTTACAGTACAGTAGAACACGAGATCCTAGAGTTGTCTCAATGTCCTTTGATAGGCTCACAATGCGGGGAACTGTACAGAAACAATATTAGATTCAATTGCATCAGCACTGAGTACTAAAAGGCCGCATTGAGCCATATATAAACTACGGAAACAGAAGAAGGAAATCCACTCAGTCATCAGTCAATCCAATGAAGATTGATCCCATTAGTTGCCAAAGTTCTAAATCCTTGGCCTTGGGTTTAGAACTATAACCCTCCTGTCCTGACTAGAATCTGATTTTTAATGGCTTTGGTTCTCGATTTACCTACACTCATAACTATCTCCATCAGTGCTTGGGCCTATTTCTTGAAGTCTGAAATCAACTTGGCACTTGATGGAAAGCATTTGGTGCCCCTCACCAGACAAAAATTCTATATGAACTTTGACTGATTGCTTGACTGACTGACTGCTATCACAGCGAAAGAACAGTAACGTTTGTTCTCACCACCAATTCTTAGCTCCATCTGGGCGCGTGCCGACCGTTGCGATCTGGTAGGCGGGAACACTGACTGACAACGCCACTTGCCAGAATCCTCAGGATGGGCAGACAGAATTATGAATCTTTCAGAAAATGGAAAGGGGGAGTTCTACTGAGACAAATGAGTTCCTGAGAACGCAAAATGATATCGTAAAATTGTCCTCATCTAACAACCTAGTTTGACAATCTTTGGGTTTGTGGCCATAGCTAAGTCCTTTGGGTCATGTTTGATTTTGTTCAGTATCCGTTGAGCAGCTTTGGTTGCAGAGGGTTTTGAAGTGTCTGTCTCAAGACCTCTTCGACCTCAAGTCCATTTACAAACCCACAATATTTGAATGAAATGCAAATCTTCTGGGTCGAAAACATGTCATTCGATACTTCGGTAGAAAACGACAACATTATTCGTTAATAATATCAGAGTTTTATAGGAGTACAGATCAGGGGAAGCCTGAGGCAGATAGTCGATATTTGCTCCCTCTGTAAACACATAACAGGAAAACCTGACCCTTGTGCAGTTAACCTCGACGCACTGTTTTACAGACAGACGCCCGTACGTTCTAGCACCTCCTGGGCAAATAGCCCCCCCCCCCCAAAAAAAAAACAACAATAAAAAAACAACAACAAAAACAAAACAAAAACTTCTATAACACTGGGGCTACACTGAGGTGGAACACACCACCAATACAAACTCAAAAAGGAACAAAAGTAGAAAATTAGAAAACCTGTTTGGAGACCGAGGCTGTGATCTAACTGACACCCTTCCCATTTCCACGGCCTAAGGACATACCTCCATGTTCCAGCCGTTGGTGCGTCCTCTCTGTAGCGGTCATTTGGGTGTATGATGCCCACACGGTACCCAAAGACGCGCACGTCGTTCAGATACCACTTGACCACTGTCCCATACACTGCGTCGTCCACACGACATGTCAATGTGATGGAAGTACCGACTGGAACTGTACTGTTTGGATGCACACTAAGAAGAATGGTGGCCCCTGTGCTCACGATTGAAAGAATATCATAAAATAAGTTAAGCAAAATAGAACTCCCTCTACCGCCACCCTCGATCCGAGCTTTCCTGTGTCTGATCGTTTCTTATTCCTAATTTGTAAATCTCTGAAGTTTAAATGGATTCTGACATAACTTTTTCCACAAGTGAAACAGCCTATAGCTAGGTTTTCGGGTGGGTGGAGGGGCATTGGCATCTGATGGGGGGGGCATCAGCCTTCTGTACTGTTGAAGTCACTGTTTTTAGCAAATGTTTTTTCGCCTCGCTCAAAATCCATTACACTGTATTACGCAGGACAACAAAGTATCTCAAAGGAGCGTGTAAATATTGCAAATGTGCAAAGTATGAGTTTAAGTGTTTTGGGTTTGGGAAGGAAAAGGCGATACCTGGGTTTTTTTTTTTTCAAATTAATCTATTTCTTTTTTGGGGGAAGGGGGCACCTGAGGGGCCAACGGGAATTCGAGGTTGGGGGCCTCATGCCGTCCAGCCACTTCCCCCTTCCATCTATAATTCATCTATAGTTTACGGCCTCACGGGTGTAGGCCTCGTGCAGCTGCATTGAGCAATTCCGAGGGAAAAATTGCTTTTGGCTTACCTGTCTCGGCGGGAAAAACTGGACGTTGAAGAGTACAATAAGTCTCATTCTCATAAAAATAGTTTCGGAGTGAGCGTACATGTTGTTCTTTCAACTTTAAATTAAGGTTCAGCAATCTATTGCGTTGTTTGACAATGCAACGCCCGATACGTCGATCGGATTACTGTCGAGGGGGTTTCCGCCCTTGGCGCTTTCGGAGTTAAGAGGAAATCTTGTTAATTAAAGAATTTGTTATTGCCGCTCATGCAAATTACCAAGGGCTGTGAGTTCAAGACTCTTTGCAGAAGCTGAGGGCAAAAAACCAGTGTGTTCTGGACTTTAATCCTGTACATCTGCACGATGTCGTCTCGACCAGTGTGTCCGTCACGCCAGTGAAGGCCTACCGTTTACTGTACCAGAGTGTGACAGACATATGATCGTTTGGCCTTCTTATTTATTGATATTTATTGACGGAAAAAAGGGTCTTAAACGAAGATGAAGTCGAGTTTTGTTTCACTTAGGTTTAAAATTTGTCTAACGCATATTGTGTCTGACACATCCCGATGGATGTCCACAATTCGAAAAGTCAGTTGGGTTTTTCAATGTCCGCCTTTTAGCCATCGTACAATCTACATCATATAAAACATTTGATCTGCTGTTATCAAATACAAAAAAAATTACTTATTCATACATTCATCGGTATCAAAATTTATGAGGAGCTGCCCTAATATGCGAAACATGGGGGTAAATATCATTTCCTCAGTACTGCTGAATTGAATTTCAAAAAGTCGTGATTTATTTTTCTTTGATACATTTAATCATCACGATGTTTTAAGTAATGGTTATTTTAAAACAACTCTCAATTTTTAATAACCGTTTATTCACAACCTCTCCTTTATTCAGGAAACCACCCACTTCATGCTTGACTATATTTAGAAAACCGCATCAATAAATAGTTCAACGAAATACAGTCACCCCCAAGTTGCTTACTTGCAATCTCGTGTGTCTTGAACGCTTTAGGGAAATGAACTCCGGAACGACCTTTGACGTCATCAATTATCTGTTGGTTTGTGCTAAGCACGACGTGGTTATTCAGAAAATCGTGATATTACACGTGAAAATTATGAATATTTGAGTTTCTGAATTCCAATCATGTTGGAAAAAAACAGGTAATCCAGTATAAAGAGAATTCGGATTGTATCATTTGAAGGAAATTCAACTTCTTTATGAAGACTGAGGAAGATAAATAACAGAAAAAAACAACTACATTTATTTTTGACGTAGATGGCTTCACATTGCTAAAAAAGCGATTTGGCCCATTAGTTATTTTGGCAGTACAGGTTTGAGTCTTGTGCATATCGGATATAAATGAGTATATATAGGATGTTCAGTATTTGCAATGAATTCAAACGCTTCTATACGGACAGGCGCAGATCTCGGGGTGGGTGGGTTCAGGGTTCGACCTTCTCCCGTCCCCAGCCGCTCTGAGACAAAAAGCGTAAAGATTGGGGACAATAATGAAACAACCTATGTAAGTGCATCAGTAACATTATAAACGATGTGGTCATGTATATTCATTATTCGTTTCGTCTTCGTCCCCACTTTTCTGAAAAAAAATTAACATTAACAAAACTTGCTGAATCCGCTCCTGTTTAATCCAATCATCTTAGCGCAATTCCGAAGACGATTACTTAATTATAGTTCAACTAACATCGCCTGAACGATGGACGGTTTGGACTATCTAGTCGATCATTTGGCACCAGGCCCATGGCCGGCATGGTCCAACTTCATTTACATGTATCATTACAGAGGGAAACCATTCACGTGAAAATAGGCTTAACCGTACGAGATTTCAGTGGCCGTGTACGCTGCGAGATTTGCAGCCAACAGTGAAATGTAACACTGAGACTTGGAAAAATAGACCGACAAGAGTCGTAACAGTGTTGTACATGCGGATTGTTACAAGCAACTGACCTGCAACTGGTCGTACTGTATTTCGTCCCCGAGCTTGTCTAATGTTACGGGTAGGTTTTTCTTTTAGAATGATTCTTTTAGAATGGTTCTTTTAATGTTTAGCATATTGATTGACTGATTAGTAATCTAAAGACGTTTTGGGCAGTACGCCGACAAATTATTGAAAAAGGTTGAGTAATTTTCTCATTCCTTAATATTTCCAAAAGGTCTCCCATTTAATCTCTGCTCTCAGATAACTTAAAAATTAATATTCCAGCTTCTCATTGGACTCTTTTGTGCACTGAAAGCCATCACCAAAATGGTGTTTCCATGCAAAAGGAGCCAACAATTATGGCATTCATCTTTTTGAAACCGATAGAGGAATACACGGTCGCTTTACATCTACGTCTCTGCTCTGGCATAATCCAAAATAAGATTATTTGTGTCCATTGTCCAGAGAGGTAAGATAAAATGAACATGCTCAGCACAAGGGATTGCCTTGCTGTTAGACGTTCGTAACCTTTCATGTTGTGGCTTAGAGGATCAATAGACTTGAACTCTGGCACAGCGCTCTTTGTTAAGACTCATCGTACTTGGTTCAAGTTCCGTATCTCGCCCAATCTCGTCATTTCTCGTGCTTGATGTCCAAGAACGATTTGACCCTAAGCGGCCGTTAAAAGTCCCTTATAGTGAATGCACAAAATTTAAAATTTAAAATGGGATTTAAAACCAACAGGCACAATCGCGCCGAATCTGAATAATTTGACGGGTATGGTACGTGACATATAAAAGTACATGCAATTGCTTTTATTGAGACAATCCAATTATAAGAAAAGCTCATGACAAGGTAAATTATTTTCATTGATTTTTCCAATGCAATATACCTGTCAATATTTACCGTGTGTACCTTAATTCATGAAAAACAAAAACAAGCACCCCCCCCCAAAAAAAAACCACCTTTTGATCTTAGACAGTTGGCGCTGGCATATTTGCATGGCTTAGTAAATCCCAATGATAGAGCATTACATTCTTGATAGTATTTTGCCTTGGTTTATCGTATTTTATAACGTTCCGTCTGGACTCACCTGTTCAAATACCAGCGTATGCCCTACTTCTTGTAACACATCGTTCACTGTTCTTTAACACTCACCCGTCTTTTCTCTAAAGACCAAGCGTTGCTTCAGTTCTTGCTCAGCCTTCGTGACATTTCCGACAAAGACTTAAAAATTATCGATGTGAGACTCTCAATCTTTGCCATTTTAAGTGTATATTAACACCTGGAAACTGTTAGCAACATCAGGCCGGCTGCTTTGCGTGTGACGGAGTTTGAAAGCTGTAAACTATTTCTCCAAAAGGGTTGTGACACCCAAAGGTGTCTATTCAATCGTGCGAGCAAAAAAAAGTTGGCAAAAACATTTCCCAAATCAGCCCAAACAGTTATCTGTTTAATCAGTTGTCAATTTATGATAACTCGTGCCGATCTATGTCACTCACTCAAAGCGTAAATATATCATTTTTCACAAACATTTTAATATCTATCCTTAAAAGGGTAAAAAAAAGTATATACCTACAGCTACTGAAAAGTAGAATTACCTGGAGCGACCAATGTTGCTAGAATTCCAATAACAGGTAGAATGAAATGCACTCCTTGCACCGACGCCATCTTGACAACTTCTGACTTGTTTTCAGGGAAAGTAAGAATTATTGTGCACTTCCCTAGTTTGTTAGCGCTCTGCTGGAGAAAAAGAAAGAAACCAAGAATAAAAATGGCGGCCGACCTATCACAGAGGTTACCGTTCCGGTGTTGCTCTGTAATGAGCGCCTTCCTGCAGTAGTCTCGCAGGGTTGAACGGAGGATGAGTCAGGTAAAGCAAACGCAAGACGGCTGTTGTCTGCATTCTTGGGTCGACGGCTGTTAACTCCACTTGTATGTCTCCTTATTAAAGCAATAGTATTAGCTAGCTGAGTGTCATGTTTAATGACTGTCAATATAAAGACATTCAAGGAAGTCCTCCCAGTCGTTAAGTGGTTCTCTAATTCCTTATTGTCTGTGACTTAATCGTCAGTTATGACGCTTAACCTCAACCCAGAAAGTCGAGGCGTTATTCAGGGATATGATATTTTATTATTGAATTACCTTACACTCAGTTGGCTGCGTGTTTCTTGGAGATATAACTTTTTGGGGAAGCCCCCTCCTGTAAAGAAAAAAATAAAATGACGTGACGTCACGCGTAGTTCGTGTCACATGTGCGCAGTCATCACGAATATGATGCATTTCATCCAGTACCCTTTTCTGCA